CCTTGAATTTACAATCCTCCTGCCTAAACCTCCCCAGTTGTGGGCATTGCAGGGTGTGAACTTGGTTTTATTTTCTTTTCTGAGTTTGATTCTTAATTTCCATTTTCCTTTTTTCTCCATTTTTATTCTAAGTTTTTGGATTCTAATTTTTTCAATAGCTGAAAATGCTTCTATATTTGCTAATCTAGGTTTTAGCGTTTGTTGAACTTTTCTTCTGCTTTCTGTTTTTTTATGTAAGAGAAATTTACTAAAATGTTTTGATTTTCATTTTCTGTTTTTTCTCTTAGTTATTCCTTTTAATTTCTTTTTCTTGCATATTGTCTACAAACTCTTCTTCAGTTTAAAATATCTTATACCTGGCAATAATAGGGCAAGTATAAAAGTTGGGTGACTTATTAGGCTTCTTAGTTCTAGTGTATCCTTTTTTATCTATAGTAAAGTTAGCATTTTCTGTACTCAATGAAAGTATTTATTGGAATGATTGGGCATGCTTTCTGTTGGGAAGGTGTAGAGGGAACAATAATGTCTTCAAAGTAGTTTCCTGTGACACTTCCAAGAGAAGATGCCCAGTAAACAGATCCGATGAAAGAGCTCCCTCATTTTGAGAAGGGGAAAGAGCAGGACACTGAACAAAGTTGGAAGGGATTATTTTAGATGAGGAAGACCCGTACATGCAATAAAAGAGAGGCACAGATAGTTACATGTGCGGAAGTATGATGTGCAGGTAGTATGACAGTTTGATGGCAGGGTGTTTTAATCCTTTTTTTTTTTTTTTTAAGTACGTGTTCTCACCTATTGAAAGAGGAGAGGAAACAAAGAGCATTGTTGGTTTGAGAACTTTTTACATAGCAGAAAGTTCTTTTATATATATGTGGAAAATGTGACAGAGAAACGATGAAGCAAATACAAAAATTTCACCAAAGTCTAGTTTAAGCTGTGTGATTTCAATGCTATTTCCCTCCATACCTAGAACAGGGAAAGGTCTGAGGCAGCCTTCAGTTTGGTTTACTCAACATTGGGATATGCATAAGCAGTTACAGTGGCTGAACAATTAGGTGTAAAGGAGTAAGAACTTAAGAATTTTAGAGAGTGGTTCAAATAATGAAATACGTTTTTTAAGTTGGAAATGAAACTAAATGATTGGAAAAGACAGAATGCAACAAAAGATATATGCATTTTAAAAATATTTACTTAATGCCTGGATCTTTCCCCAATATTAAAAAAAAAAAAAATTGGGGGAAGGGGCTACTGAGCATTGAGCCCAGGGGCACTTTACCACTGGGTTATATCCTCAGTTCTTTTTATTTTGAGACAGTGTCTCACGATTTTGCTCAGGCTGACCTGAAACTTGCAATCCTTCTGCCTCAGCCTCCTGGGTAACTGGGATTGCACATGTTGTCTACCACACCCAGTTTTCCCCATTACTTTATATGATTTTTCTCATTAATATCATGAATCATTTTTAGTTATAAGGGAAAAATATTTTTATCGTCTTATAGATGAGAAATCCAAGTAACAGAGAGATTAAATAACTTGTCTAAGATCACGTAGTCATCATTTAATAACCAATAAAAATTCCTTTCACCAAATTATTGAAAAATCATGTTACATCCAAATACTCTTCCTCAAATATAGAAAATAGTGATGAAACTGGTGATTCCATTATTTTTATGACATTGAAACTAGATTAATATAAGGACTAATCTAATTTTTTAAATATTCCTTTTTCCTAATTTATTATGGCAAACCATAACATTTTCAAATATGAAACCAATATATGCTATTTGAAAATGATGTAACCTAAAACAATCAGAAGTAAAGGATTTTTAAAACCCTAACTTTCTTGATGTCAGTGGATCTGGCCTTCTATGGCTGGAGCTATGCAAAGCACTTTCATAAAAGCTCTATTCCATTTTTTCTCAAAAAAAAAAAATCGGTGAAGTTGGGATTACCAGTGGTATTTAATATATGAATTCATGTTCAGTGAGATTAAAGGATTTTGTCTGATATGCACAATTGGTTTCATGGCAGAGTGAGAATCCCAGTCCTAGTTTGGGTGCAACCCTCTGCAGGATTTCTTCCACACATCTTGTCTGTGTTTATTTGGTTAGCCCAGAGAAGCTTCCCTAGGCTCACATCTTCAGTATATCCTTAGGCATGCTCAAGATTTGTTTATATACTAAGAATAAACTATGCAGTAAGATCAAAGTAAAAATAAAGCATTTCCTTAATAGAAAGTTAAGATCTTCCTCCCATTGTATTATCATGATAAATAAACCATACCTTCCACCTGATTTTGAGGATTGCAATGACTGTGATCTAAATTACTCTCTTCTTTTATTCTTTTTATTATATATTATTCTTTTATTTTTGTGGGTAAGTATCAAAGACCACAGTATGAAAAGAAATACATATGCAGTGCCAGTTTCACATGTCTGTTTTTGGTTAAAGCTCCTTTTTAAAAATAACTGGTCTGTTGTGAAATAAATCATCTTAGATATTAGCTATAGAAATTAGACTGAGGGAAAATGTTAAACATGACAGTTTCTCAATTATTTTATTTCAAAAAGGAAGTTAATGGCAGAATAGAAAAATAACTCAGAGGAGGAACTGTGATTTATGTTTTTTTTCCATAAACCAAACAAACTGACTTGTACCAGGTTTTCCATATCATGAAATCAGTCAAATATTCAGGTTAAGTTCTGGGTGTAATACTGAATTTCTCAGGCTAGTTATGTATTACATTTTTATTTTAGGGGAAATGGCCAAATTATCTTTTCATCTCCTAATGAAACATTGTTAAAATACATTATTAAAAGAATGAAGATATTCTTCCTAGGTAAAGATCACTGGCTATTGCCATATAATAACTAATCTTCATAATTTTCCAACAGCAAATGCTGTAACTCTATCCACAAGTATTTTTTGTTTGTTTCTTTCTTTTGTTCCCTTGAAATTGAGCACTTAAGAATCAATAGTCAATTGCTCCTTCCTTGTTATGCTCTAGTGATTGTAAAGAAGAGGGGACATAGTCTCATATTATGTTTTGGGCTATTTCAAGCATGGTAGGCGATTAAAAAAAACATGTAAGATAAGTTTCTTGCTTTTAACAAATGCAAATCAGGAAAACAGCACTCATGTAAACAAGACTCCTGCTGAACAATCTGGCCATCATAACACTTAGCACTAAATATATGGCTATACAATGCAATAGTTGTTCATAAAAGACAGGAATTTATGAGAGCAAAAGGCATCTGTAAGTCTCTATCTTGAAATCTGTTGTGAAATAAATCATCTTAGATATTAGCTATAGAAATTAGACTGAGGACCAGAGCTATAGCTCTCAAAGTGTGGTCCCAAGGCCAGCAGTATCAGCACCTTCTGCAAATTGAAATTTTTCCTTTCAAAGAAGTTCCCCTGTGGAGAAAGAAATTAGTGAGTCAGATCTAGCTGGTCTGAGGGCCATATTTGAAAACCAGTGACTTGAATGATTCTTCCTTATTGTTGATAGAGTTGAGTTCAGATAAAGATATTGTATCATTCCTCTATAGTATTTAGAACCTTTTATGATCCTTTTCCCTAATTTTTCAGGCATTTAAAAACTAGAGCTCTCAAACTAAATAGAGTCAACATACTCTTTTACTTTGTCTGAAATTTTCATAAGCTGTTCTATGAGACCACTGGACCCACAGGTAATCCACAGGGAAACATTCTTTGCTGCTTTTGTCCTCAACTGTCATCTGGTGTTTGTAAATAAAAGTGGAACAGATAAAATATTTGGCTTTGGTTGATATTTCACTGTGCTAATGAAATGTAAGAATTCATTAAACAAGGTGATACGTTTAAATTTTCTTCTAAGTGCTGATTATGTCTGTTAAGTTTGCTTCATTTTCTATAATTTGGGGAAAATAGAAAGTAGATCTATGAAAATAAAATTGTAATATGCTTCTGTTCACATATTCTGAGGCTCTTTCTACCTTAATCCTGTTTCAGTGCAGGTATCTGAGACGTTTGTAAGAACAATGCTTTAGTTCTTCTTGATCTCATTCACTCAGCATGCAATGTTCTCTCTGTTGTGAAACAGGTGTGGAATAACTGCCAACAGGGAACTTGGCTTGTGATGCAGTACTTGGTTGGACAGAAGCAAAACATGGCTCTTACTATTAGTTTTAAACATTCTAGATATTGGAGTATCTATTTCATGAAGCTCCTCTACTACTATAATTTTATTCAGGCAATTTAGGTTTATTAATCTGTGGGTGCTATGTGTTTAGGATTATATTCAGCTAATGCTTATTGTTTTATAAGATAGGGTGTTAGATTCTTTATATATATATTAGCAATTGATTCATGTGGGAGATATTTTATCATAACAGAAGGTAGATATAAAATAAAATGCTTAAATATCTGAGCATAATAATGTAAAGATATATAACTGAAGAGTATTAAAAAGTATTGATGGTTATCTAAAAAATATACATTTTAGATATTTATTTTGAATAGGTGAATACCAAGTTAATGGGGCCAGATAATTTCAAGTAATAACTTATATGTAACTCCATTTATAATAAAAGTTTTATTTAGATATTAAAATGCAACTCTTGGAAGGCAGCATCAAATTAGGTCTAGTAGGATGACCATTTTTAAAGTAAAGATTAAGATCAAAGTAAACATGAAAAGGACTAATATAGAACATTGGTCACATTCACATTGAAGATAAGAATATCAATCCTCCTAATAAAACTAATAATTACTAAATAGGCTCACAGTTATTTCATAACTCAACTATCTGTCACCATGTATAAATTTTTGATGTTTATATTGTCACTTTATGAACTTTTTAAAGGTTATTTGATGTCAGGAAAAGTTATTAATAATTCAGAAGTAATTCTTATTTTCATCTGTGTTTAGCATGCTATAATATGTAATTTTTAACATATAATAATATTTTAGTAAATGAACTTAAAAATGGAATTTTCCTTTTATTAAATCATTTACAGGGAGAAGCAGGATCCCCAGGTGCACCAGGGCAGGATGGACCACGGGGAGAGCCTGTGAGTACCTTCTTGACAGGTCATGAAATCCTATTTCATGATATTTAATTTCTCCCCCCAGATGTCCTGTTCTTATTCACTGACTTCCAAAGTTTGGATGTTGTAGAAGGGGTTTATGGAACATTGTACCATACTGAAAGATTGAATCCTCTTTCATAAACCAGGAAGAATGTTGCATGGGGTATGAATCATGACCACAAATGCTCAGGCCCAGATAAGCCATTGGTAAACATCATGGTCTTTTCTTTAGTCAGTGTTGCTTTGCCACATGTCTGCTTTTTCATAGTAGGCTCTTGGGGATTGTGTCTTCAATAAAAGGAGTGCAGAGACATGATTAAGAGAGTACTTACTGAATTCTAGCTTTTTAGCAAGTATCCTAGATAACTCTTAACTTCAGATGGGTTTTGGAAATATAGATTGCTGCCCCCCTTTATTCCTAAAATTCGTGGCCAACATTTAAATACTAGTAGATTTCATTTTAATCATCAAAGGTATCTGTCCTCCAGGAATTCACATCTGCTTTGGGAGGACCTAGGTCAAGAAGTAAAATGAAGGCTAGATATTATTTATCTAGCATTTATCACAAAGTGTTCAGTTGGGAGTTCAGAGTCTAAATGTAGATAAGACCTGGATGGAGAGAGAAATCACCAAGATGTCTTAAACAAGGAAGAGGGATTGATTACTCTTGGAATTACTCAGATTTCACTGAATTCTCATTTTTGGGTATTGTATTGCACTGGATCCAGTTCTATACAGAGCTACTGCCTTTATGAAGCATATAATCTAATTTGGAAAATTGAAATAAAGGATACAAATGACACCCAACTTAAGGCTGTTTGTCATCAGTGCTGTGTATGAACTTGACATGGACCCAAAAGACTAGGGTTTAAAAGCCAATCTCTGCCATGTTCCAGCTCTGTAAGTCAAGTTCATATCTCTTAATACCTTCCTTTTCATCTAAATTGTGCTTACAATGCCCTCTTCATAGGAGTTGTTGTGAGTCTTATGTAGGACCCCCCCTCCCCACCAAATTGTGAAAGCATTATACAAATTCATGGGGTCAGTGCTAAGCGTACTGCATCTTGGATGGTTGAGAAATTTTTACCAAGGATTTGGGGCTAGGTTTGGTAATGAAAGGATAGCTAGAATGGAAGGAAGAGAGAGGACTAACATGAGTGAAAGCACACAGGTACAATGGTTACAGATGTGCCCAAGCAACCATGAAATCATCTTAATAAGGTCCTAAGGCTGTAGAGAAGGGTCCAGCTTGGGTAGTAGGAAAACTAGAAAGGTAGATTGGACTGTCTACTTGATTTAGGAGAGAGAGCATCCAAATTACTCCTGTCACTACCCCATCTAAGAAGTGCATTAGAAGTAGTTTATGAGTTTTTCATCCATACAGTGGATGTAAAGAAAGAGACTGGAATCAGAGCAACAATTCCTGGGCTATTTTGACAGACTAGGCCTGAGGTACAGGGCCTCAACCAGAGTGTTAACAGGAAGAGTGAGTGCACTCAGTATACCTGAGCCATAATCATCATTATTGAAGATAAAACTTAGGACTTGCTATGTGAATGTGAGCTTGGGTGAGACTATTATGTTCTTTTTTTCCCCCTCAGAAAGAATATGAAGAGAAAGAGACAAAGAGAAGCAGATACAGAGACAGACAGGGGAGTGGGTTGCTGAGAACCAGGTTATAGCCTATGAAGCAACCATGTTCTAAATGTGGGTTAGTTATTTGGAATCTGCAGTTCATTTTCCAATAGAAATAATGCTATAATGGGAAGACTGACCAGTAAATCTATGTAAGCCATAATGTAATATAAGGAGAATGCATGTACTTTGAAAATAAAAAAATTTCAATCATTTTTAATAAAACCAGAAAAGAGAAAAGAATATTAAATGGGAAATGAGGGTGATTAGGGGTGCTTCCTTCCCTCCGGCTGCCCATACCTCACTTTCAGCCAGAAGCTGACCCGGTCTGCATGTGTTCTTGCCCTGCATGCTCCCACTTTTTTTTTTTTTTCCGATTTTACGTTTTTGCTTCTTCCTTTCTACCAACATTTGCTGCATTCTTCTAATGTTTGAGTGAGAATCACAGGGACTGCCTCTAGAAGGCTTCCAGCCTAGTGGGAATAACAGATGGTCAAAGGATAAACAAAACAGAAATGAAATGAGGATTTTCAAAAAGATAGGCCAACAAGTGGCTAAGGCAGGAAATGATCAGAATGGGGTAGTGGCTATTTAGATGCAATCTCTCTAAACCAAGTAGACAGAAAACTAGGAGTTACTGAGTGAGATTCTTAGCAACTCTCTCAGGCCACTTTACCAGATGGGAAGGCAGGAGCAGGATCCCTTATCCCTTTCCTCCAGCTCCCCTCTCTTTCCTGGTGAATGACAAAAAGGCAGTCAGGTTTCCTAAGCCAGGAACCATAGTCTGTTGGGAAAGCGATGAATAGATGATGCATCTAAAATTTGCCAATGTCTGGCTATAATCCTCCTGGTCTGTAATCACTTCCAAATAAGAATGTGTAGCATTGTAAGCTATTCTGTTATTTTGACAATTCATTGAAACATGGTTGTTAGAAATGTTATGCTGCAAAAAAATGATCTTTGCCATTTGTGGAAAGGTTTTGAAAACAAATGAACAAAACCCTCTAATGTTTATTTGTTTTGTGATGCAAAGAAATGAAAACTCCAGTTCCTGTGAATACTGGTTTTAAGGATTTGTAATGAATGATTTGGCCCCACTAAAAAGGACATGTTCAATATATTTGTTGTGCAATGTGGCAGCCAAGAAAATTAATGGAGCTTAAATTGGAAGGACAGAAGCTCTTAGAAAATACTTTAAAGCTAATTAAACACAGATTATGGCAGTGTGATAGTGATTCATTCCTGTAAGCAGATTGATACATAGGAATACCATCTCCTGGAATTCAAACTGAGCGCAAAGATTTTATTTCATTGGGAAATGATTACATGGCTTTAAATTACAAGTCATTTACACTCCAGTTCTTTGAATTTTAAGGCTAGTATTGATCATTCCTAAAAACAATTCAAACCTAAAAGCAATGTACTTTATAAATAGCAATTTATACCCAATTTACTTCAATCCAGTTAAGTACAACCTAAATTTGAACACTTGCTACTTTAATTATAATTTGCTTCAGCTTTGAATTACTATGTTTAAGGATCACATTAGTTATCAGTTATTCATTCAAAAAGCATTTACTGAGTACCTACTTTGTACTAGACATTATACTAACTCAGGAGAATGTGAAGATTAGACTCTACCTTCAAAAAGTCAGAGGAGCCAATAGATGACAACCTGGCATGGATGCTATGAAACAAGGCACAGGGTCTTGAAAAATTGTAGAAGATGTGCATAACCCTATATGTAGTTGGGGGTGTCACTGAAAGGGATGCGTTCTTTCTATAAAATAATACCTTTAATAGATAAAATTAACATACAGTGTAGTTGATACATTTACATTGTACATGGTACATTCCAAAGTTTGGAAGACAAATAGGAGTTGTCTAGCTGTGTTAAGATGGCAAGGCAGGAGCATATAGCATATTCCAAAACAGAAGTAAAAGAAGGCATGATACTCTGAGAAGAGCTGATGCTAGTTCAGGCTAACTGGGTTTACTGAGTGGATGGGATAGAAGTAAATGAAGTTGTCAGGGCAGGCAGAGGTCAGATCATGATGGGGTTTTGTCTGAGTCAATTGGTGTTAAGTCTCCAAATAAAGTTGGGAGCCACCCAAAGGTTTTATGTAGGGAAGTGGGTTGATCAGGTTTAAGTTTTAGAAAAATCCCAACAGCAAATAGGAAGTCAGTGTGGGTCAAGAGAGGAGAAAGCCTGGCAGCAGTCTAGTTGAACTCTGTCACCTTTAGTACCAACAAAGGCAAGAACTTTCAGAATTGGGAATGAGAAAATGGACTGATTTGAAATGGACTAAAGCAGGGCTTGAGGCCATCTTAGTGCATGGTTGAAGGCAGAGAAACACAAAGCAATAACCAGAATAGAACAAGAAGAATAGTTTTAGCCAAGGATCACTTAAGGCATTTTGAAGTGGAACATATCTAGATAATAATAAAGATATTTGAACAGGTAATCTATATCTTTGAGTAGTTATAAAGAACAGATTCATTAAAAATGAGTATTTATAAATTTTTTAATTTATTTTTTTGTGTGAAAACATCAGAAATTTATTAGTTGCTCAAAACATTACATTGATCTTGACATATTATATATCATACATTTGATTCAAATGGGGTATGAATTCTTATTTTTCCCACGTGTACATAAAATTTTTAATAAGAAATAGCAGACCACATGCCTGTAGCCTCAACACTTGGAAGGCTCAGGAGGGTGGATCACTTGAATCCAGGAGTTTGAGACCAGCCTAGCCAACATAGTGAGACCCCATTTCAAAAATAAATAAATAATGTAGTTCAATGTAATTCAACAGCTCCTCCTTATGGCTTATCCAGTGGATTTGGTAGTTTCTTAGCCAGTCCCCACAAATGCATGAGCTAATTCTTTGCAGTAAATCTCTGGACTGTAGTTGTGTTAGAAAGCAGAACTTGGTGAATATTTAGCTGAGACTTCCAAGCAAAGTGATGAATATATGGTTTGATTTCTTTTTGCTGCTTGTAGTAAAGTGTGAGGAGAAAAGGGCAAGTTGAGGAAAAAACTTGGGCAAAGAAGAATGAGCACTTGATGATTTGGGAATGTTTCAGCTTTATCCCCATTGCAGAAGCTATCAAAATTGGTAGATTGGCTGTTAGAAAAGCATGCTGGTGGAAAGGCTAAGAACATGGCTGAACAAACTTTTACTGGTCCTAAATAGGTAAGGAGTATGCCTTCTCTATTGACTCAACCATCCTAGTAGAATTCCCGTAGAAGAGCCTCTTATCTAATTGCATGAATCCCCATGAAAGATACAGGAAAACTACACATTTTAAGAATTAGATTGAATGGTGTGGAGACAGGA